CCACAGCCACCACCATCTACCACCACCACCCACCACCACAGCCACCACCACAGCCACCCATCCACCACCACCACCACCCACCACAGCCACCACAGCCACCCACCACTCACCCACCACAGACACCCAGTGACCCATCCACCTCAGCCATCACGGCAGCAGGATGAGGCTCTTATTTGGCTCTTTGATGCTTTCCTGCACACAACTTAGCATGACTTTGAGAACTTCAAGATGTTGTTTATAGTTTAAATTGTTCACAAATAATCCACACCACTTTAATTTTCTCAGCGTCACGTATTATTAACACCATTTAAAGAGCTTCTTTCTTGTACATAAGAAGGCCATGTCTGTGACATGTGACCCAGGTTTTTCCCTATTGGAGCCTTCCCCAAAGCAAGAAACAGAAGTTCATTTCTGTGTCATGACAGCGAGAACTGGTGGGCTGAATGAAGACCCTCGAGGCCCTCACAGCGGCAGACTGCCACAGCTGTGGGCCACAGTCTTTTGAAATGATTTAAGAGAAATTTAAGGTGGTCATCTAGAAACTGCCTCTCTGGACAGGGCAGTTTTCATGATCACAGTCTCATAGAGTAACAGTTGAAAAGAAAGAGGAGGAGGAAGAGAAGAAAGGGATGGAGATAAGAAAAAGAAAAAAACACCCCTCGTTTTTCACAAAGACAATTTTCAGTGACTATGTACTTAGTTCCCCCTTTTCTGACTTGGTTGGTTCATGGAGACCAGGATAAGGAGGTGTCTGACTTCCAAAGCCCAACATGAGAGACAGCGGCCAACACCGACCCAACTCTCCACTGATAGCAAACGCTGGAGCCTCTGCTTAACAGAGTCCTTGGGGAACTGGGGCTGGGCAAACAGCTCACTGGGGAAAGAACTTGCTCTTTGAATCCCAAACATCCACTTAAAAAAGCCAGGGGTGGCCACGTGGATCTGCCACCCCTGTGCTGGGGACAGAGGGTGGAGATGGGCAGACCCTGGGGCTTGCTGGCCAGCTAGCCAAAGATGGTGAGCTTCAGGCTCAGGAAGAGACACTGTCTCA